TCGGGATATTTGGTCAAGCGTCCAACAGGTGATCCCTAAACCTCAAGAGCCAAAATCCCAAACCATGATCCTCGAACCAATTTCTGGAAACCTTTGTACGGCAGTTTCCACAAATACTGGGACCCCAGCAGGAACCCCAAAATCCTGAAATCCTTCTTCTAGGAACCCCTACAGTGGCAATCCTAATTTTCGGAAACCATGAACCTAACCTTCTAACTCCCGATCATTGATGTCCCTAATATCTCCTCTACAATACCTTGGAAGGTATCCCCCATTTTGGGAGAACCCCGTTTTTAGTCAAGCATCTAAACCCTAAACCCGAGACCCTGAACCCTAAACCCCGAACCCTAAACCCTAAACCCTGAACCCTAAACCCTGAACCTTAAACCCTAAACCCTAATTTAGCTAAGCGTCCAAGAGGTGATCTGTACCCACGGCTGCACCGGAACCCAGGTGACCGAGGCGATGAGCTACCTGATACGCCTTCTCAAGACCTGGGCGAAGTCTTTAACCCTAGGGGTTACATTGGGGTTATATAGGGATTATAGGGTATATATTTGGGGTTATATAGGGATAATGGAAAAGAAAATGGAAACTGGGATCCATGTATGTAAATAATACTTACATTGGGCCCAAAAGTCTGTAAATATTACCTACATGGGGCTATTTGGATCCCTGGAGTAAGGGTAGGGTTTAAGGTGTTGGGTTTCGGGTGTAGGGCTATATATACCTAGAGTTTAGGGTTTAAGGTTTATAAGGTTTGAGGTTTAGGGTTATACATACCTAAAGTTTAGGGTTGAAGGTTTAAAGTTTAGGGTTATACATACCTAGCGTTTAGGGTTTAGCGTTATACCTACCTATGGCTTAGGGTTTAGGGTTATACATACCTAGGGTTTAGGGTTTAGGGCTATACCTACCTAGCGTTTAGGATTTAGGCTAAGGTTTAAGGCTTAGGGCTAGAGTTCAGAGTTTAGGGGTAAAGCTTAGGGTTTAGGACATTTGGTTTAGGATTAGGGTCAATAAGGCTCGGGGGTACATGGGGTAAACAAGGATGAGGGTTCAGGTTTGAGGGCTTAGCTGTTGAGAGTTTATAAGGTTTAGGGCATCATCTTACATGGTCATTTCCCAAATTGCAGTCCTTGTTTTGCCGGGCCCATCCTGGGCAAACACCACATCCTAAGTACCCATTTCGGCCCACCCACCACCTACACGCAAACCCTGAACTCCAATGCGAACCTTACATCTGAACCCGAAACCACAAATCATAGACCCTGAACCCTCCCCCCTAAACCCTTACTTGCAGTTTCGATGTCATTTTGCATTCTCTTGCCCGGTTGATTCTCCATTTACTACACACATCTGGTCACTCTATATCCCTGAACCCTTTCAGGGCTCGATTTTAGATTGATTTGCTTTTGCATTTGATTCTCCACTATTGGAAATCCTGGTATCCTTTTTTCGCGCCCTGAACCCTAAAACCTGAATTGGCCCTGAACCCTAAGATTTTTCCCTAAACCCCAAACCCTAAACTTCGGCCCGAGGCCCTAAGAACTGAACCCTAAGTCCTAAACCCTAAACCCTATAGTCTAAACCCTAAACAACCCCTAAGCCCGGAGCTCTAACCCAAAGGGTCATGTAGGTATAGGGTATATACTTACGGCCCAAAGGGGTTCNNTACATGGACCCTTTGGGTAAGCTCTTTTCTGGGACCCGCGCTCTCCTTCACTGCCGACCCGAAGCGCTCCGCAGCTCGTCGCGAGCTGCGCCGCGGTGCCGTCGGGGCTGCCAGAGCCAGGACAGCGCCTAGGGGTTTAGGGTTTAGAGATTAGGGTTTAGGGTTTGGATAGGGATTAGGGTTCAGGGTTTAGGGTTTGTATTGGGATTAAGAATTAGGATTTAGGGGCTTAGGATTTAGGGGCTTTGGGTTTAGGGATTAGGGTTTAGGGTTTGTATAGGGATTGGGGTTTAGGGCTTAGGGTTTCGAGAGGGATTAGGGTCTAGGGTCTAAGGATTAAATGGGTTTGTAAAGGGATTAGGGTTTAAGTTTAGGGTTTGCATAGGGATTAGGGTTTAGGGTTTGCATAGGGATTAGGGTTTAGGGCTGTATAGGGATTAGGGTTTAGGGTTTAGGGATTAGGTTTAGGGTTTGCATAGGGATTAGGGTTTAGGGTTTGTATAGGGATTCGGGTTCAAGGTTTAGGGTGTAGCATTGGTCTGTTGAGCGCTTAGTATCCAGACACACCAACCCCAAGGCCACCCAAACACGACTCACAGCAAAATAAACCAACCAGCCGAATAAGCCAGAGCAAGCCAAACCCGAGCCAGTACATAAACAATATCCGCTGCCGTCTCGTCCCAATCTTCGAAGGCGGAGGCGCCGGACCTCTTTTTGACGTCTGCCAGCTTTTGCTGGTGAAAGGTCGCTGCAAACGACCACAACATGGCTTCTTGGTCGGCAGGCTTCTTGAGCCATGTCTTGGAGGGGCCAGGCAGATTGTAGTCAGCGCCGATGTGATGGACTCCTGCCGCCATCACCTTCGGGTTGTTCAAGGCGGTGACTGCCTCGAGTCCAGAGGTGGCTCAGCAGGCTCTGCAGCTCAGCAGAGCCTGCCATGGTCTCCGGCGCTCGACGCGCCCACTCACCTACAGAATGAGAGGGGTGATTAGGGGAAAGGGTTTGTATAGGGAGCAATTAGGGTTTAAGGATTAGGGTTTAGGGTTTGTAGAGGGATTAGGGATTAGGGTTTAGGGTTTGTATAGGGATTAGGGTTTCGGCATAAGGGGTTAGGGTTTGCATAGGGATCGGGGTTTAGGGTTTGTATAGGGTTTAGGGTCTAGGGATTAGGGTTTGTATAGGGATTAGGGATTAGGGTTTAGGGTTTGTGTAGGGATTAGGGATTAGGATTTAGGGTTTAGGGTGTAGGGGTTAGGGTTTAGGGTTTGTATAGGTCTAAGGGATTAGGGTTTAGGGGCAGGGTTTGTAGGGCTTAAGTTTTACGTAGTTTAGGGTTTAGGGGGGTTTAGGGTTTAGGGGGGCTTACGGTTTAGCTTTGGGGCTCAGGAAGGTTTAGAGTTTAGGGATACGGAAGTTTATGGCTTAGAGGCTCCTATGTAATTCTTTTTGATTTTGTGGTTTTATGGTAAGGGATTATAATATACCATCCGAGGAGGAACTACATAGCCGATGGAAAAGTGTGGGCTTACATCGGCTTTAAATTGGGTTTATACAGAGGTGTATCCGATTTCTGGGGGTCAAAGGCGTTTAAAGGTATAGCTATAAGGGGATTCTAATAATGACCCTGAATGGGAATTATTGCTGTAGCTACCCAGCCTCAACGCTACTTTCAAATATCCATGAAACTCTTGGTAAAAAAAGGAAAGACAAGAAAGGCAATGATGTAAGTTGTCGTGGTCCAGGGGTTTGGGGCTTAGAGTCTAGGATTTGAAGTTGCAGGGCTGGGTGATTAGGGTTCGGTGCAAGGGTTTTGAGATTTCAAGTGAGAAGCTGTTGATTAATAACATCATGAATGGCTTTTGGTTCCTTGATGTTCCTTGAAAAGGAACGGAGGTCTACGTCCGAATATTGAATTCTCTGAAGCAGCATAATGTTCTTGCTGCAATTGCCTGTCTTTGGCTGCAATATTACCTGATCGTGACTTGGCTTTCGCGCTAACTACAAACCCCATGGACCTCTCTATCTACGCCCGGATTCCATGCAATGTTCCGCTCTTTTACATTTGATTCTCCTTGGACATAAACGCTAGCATTTTCCGCTCTTTTCCATCGGATTGATTGTGTAGTATATCCTCAATAGGTCCCCCCTAAAACACTATATGTTCCCCCTATAGGTCCCTAGTCCTTAGCTCGTATAGCTTCTAACCTTGCCCCGGGACACGAAGCCAGGGTCCAACGGGCTGGCAGAGAGCCGGCGCTGGGCACAGCGCTCTCGGAGGGGCGCCTACCACCAGGACCCTCCTGGTACCCTGCACTGCAACAGGTGTATATGGTGCCTAGTGGGTATTGAGACCCTAAACCTTAAACCCATTTTGGGTACCAAAAGGGATTGGCCAAAAGCCTTTAGTCATCTGTAGGATGCTTTTGCTAACTGGGTACTTGGACTAAGACCTGTGCCTCCACAGCATGGTGGCAGCACCCGAAGCGCAACAAATCTAAGCAATCTAAGCTCTCCAGCGAGGCTTGTATGTAGGATTCTCCTGATCAAAATAGCAGTAATAGTAATGGCCTCACTTCAGTAACGAAGCCCCTAGAATGCACACACATGGTCGTTGTGTTCTAGGTCCCCCAGTAGCCCCTCAACCAAAAGGGTACCCTTTCCTACTGTTCAGCTTTAATGAGGAAACAACAGGTACTACTGGGTTAACTTGTGCTTGCCCAAAGGGTCCATGTAGCNNCCCTTTGGGCCCTAAGTATATATCATATACCTACATGGACCCTTTGGGTTGGTGATTCAGCAAATCTTAGACGCATCGGTTGCCCCGCAACTTTGCCTCCTGCACAGGCTGTCTGTCAGGGTTGGAACGTGCCAGCCCCGAGTCGGTACAGCTGGGATCACGTGGCTGCAGAAGGGAACACGGTCCATGGCTACAAATTACAGTCACTTCCGCAGCTGATGGTCATGAAGATGATGGTGTGTTTATGCGTGCTAGCGGTCTTGCTACTTGCCAAGTGATTTGCTTGCTGTTCCCATGTATTGGGCAAGAGCCAGAATGATGCTAGAAATCTCCATCAAATCTAGGCCAAAACAGCTCACGTCTATCGATTAGAGCCTGCTAGCATTTGCATGTTTGCGACGCATGGTCGGTGGCAGGCAGCAACTAGCCCCACCAGTTATGACACCGCAAAAGCACAGCTCTCCATGCAGTGATGTTACGAAAAAAGCAAGCCGCACATGCATAGAACAGCTGAATAAATCTCAAATTGCCCTACGCACAGCTATTGACAAGAGCTTGCGCTAACAAATCGGCAGGGGCCAGCCGCACCGTGAAGCGGTAATCCCAGAAATCATTGTGCTTCGTCGTCCTGTAACAGTCACCTGTCCGGCAGAGGCGTGCAGCAAGAAACCTGCATCCCTTCAATGGATTTTCTACACCAATGCCCTCCCTGTAGCCTTAATTGGGCTTGTACGGCCAACCCTCTGATGCTGATACCTGGGCTAAGGGCCCATCAGAATTTTCAAAAATCTTCCAAATCTTTTTTTTGCCAAGGCGGTGCACTGGCTTAATGCCGGCCTGCGCGCAGAGAATTTCCCAACATACCGCCTCGCCTCAGCTGCATCGTTGTAGCTCTTGCTACTTTGCCCTAGGGGTCTACGTTTTGACATAATACCTAACTGTTAACCCTTAATCCTAAACACTATACATAATGCCTACTTTGGGCTATTTGGATCTTAGGATAACAGCTAGACACCCAGTCAAGTCTCATGTCGAAGGATGCTTGAGCACTGGGGTGCGGAGATCTCAAGTATGTTCCTTGAACATGTTTTGGGCTTAGGCGCTGGTGCGCTTGAAGGACATGTATCGCACTTCACTACCTGTGCCATTGATGTCATGTCCTTTATGACCGCTCTGAATCTTCCCCGCTGCTGCTTTACATCCAGTGTTCACGTCATGTGCAATGCTCTGTTCCATTTGACTCTTCATGATTTGTGGGGGTGGGGGGGGGGGTGTATTACCCTAAACCCTAAACCCTAAACCCCTAAACCTTACATAGTAGATCCTAACCCCCAGACACAGGACCAATCCATTTTTCGGCCGTGGCTCTTTTCCCTGAATTGTCTGAGTTGTTAAGGGTTAAGGGTTTAGGGTTTAGGGTTTAGGGTCTAGAGCTAATAGGTCAAGATCAGGACCAAGAAGCCATAATCACTTAATTGTCCCGTTGCTGTTCCATTTGATTCTCCATTGTCCCCAAACCCTACCTTTGATTGGTATCGTCTGGGTAGCTATTTAAGCAATAGTCTAAACTCCGAGTGTGCCTGTTAGTAGCAACCCCATGACACTCCCCTATAGAATCCTGTCTAACCCCCCTTTAAGGAGTCTGGACTGTAGCTCCTTTGGGCCCCAAATCCGTGTTGGGAAGTTGCAGGGTATCTCTGAATGAGGTAGAAAACAATCACCGCGCAGATCCAGCTCCTCCAACAGTGAAAGAATCTAAAGGATGGTTGACCTGGTTTTGGCTTTGGGTTTGCTAAGTAGCCTAAATCAAAGAACTTCATGTTCCCTATAGAGTTTGAGGCCCGAAGCAGGTTTTATTTCTAGACTTTGATCCGCCAAGGTTCCTACACCCTAAGAAACTCAAACTCCGCTTACAAAGTCCAGGCCGCTTTTGATTGGTAGCGTTGCCTTAAGGATCACATGGCACCTGAGATCCCAGCCCGGTGAGGTAGAGATTGTCAATGCCAGGGGGTGCCTTAGCTATTCAGTTTAAGGTTCAGGGTCTAGGGTTTGATGGAGGAAGTGTTGCATCGCGGGCACTTATTACACTACTGCTATTCCGCATGTCAACGATACCTACGGTGATTGAACTCTGACATTAAGAGTAGTGTTGCATCAGCATGGGGCCTTCCTTGAAGTTGCGTTTCTTGGTCAATCTGTAGCTGAAGTCTTGCTTCCGGGGCATACTTGAGTGGGGCTTTGGTGGCTGAACCAGGTATATGAGTTTATATTCCGTATATGAAATACCATACCAAGAAGGAGGATATAATCTTACTCTAGATTGGGTACCATAAACCCTCCAAACCCTAAACCCTAAAACCCTAGGAAGGCCGTAATATGCCGTAATACACTACTACTCATCGTGTTTTGACCCTACCAAGCAGGTTTGGCCCGTCAGGCTTAAAACTTAATGCAGCTAAAGGGGAGATACAAGAACCATAAAGCCATAACGTTTAGAGGTTTAGGGGTTTAGGGTTTGTGCCCTTGGGGATACTTAGTGGTAGGGTTTAGGGATTAGGGTTTAGGATTGTGCTTCGGTATGTGCCTTCAAAGAAAGGACCCTCAAACATCGACACGTTGCTTTATCCTGAGTCCTAAGTAGCAGGACAGGTCGGGGTCTCCAAAATCGGGATACATTAGGGACCCCAGGGAGGTATTTGAATTCCTGGAGGACCATAGGGTCCCGTTTAGGGATTTAAAGAGATTCTTGTGAGAAAGTCACAAATATTCCCACTGCAATCACGTAGGAGGATGTCAGAATGAACTTCCTTTCCTGGTACCCTTGATACCGTAGGCCTCCCCATATTACGCGTACTCCAGATGGGACCATAACTTGGACACCCTAAACCCTAAACCCTAGAGCCAAGACCCCAATCCCTAAAACACATGAACACTGCCCTGCCAGGGCACACTCTCTGGGCGACAAAAGCTCTCGCACCTGGCACTGGAATACGGTGTTTATGTTTTAGGGTTTAGGGGCTTTAGGGTTTAGGGGCTTCGGGTATGGGTTAGGTTGGGCCCCCACACACACAATAAAAGTGACCACAGGGGATATACTGACAATTAAATCTAGGTCACTGAGTACTACTGGGTGGAAGCCTAACCCAAGGTCTGGGGGGCTCGTTTCTCTTCAGGGATAAAGTTCATCAGGGCTTGGGGCTTAGAGCTTGACAGGAGCGAAGCAGTTATCACTGCCTGTCTGTACCCACCTCAATAACAGGCCCAAGCACAGACAACAAGCAGTCGGCGCAGCGCGTGCCTTCCATGATGGCGCCTATGAGAGTCTGAGAGCTTGTCCTTAGAAGGCTGCATGCGAACTGCAAGCTTTTTGCCGAGGATCTCATGTTTTGCCTTCTTTGCAACCTTGCAAAACACATGATAGTTTCCACTAAAAAGGGGACCCCAATACAGACCCCCAAATACCAGAATCCTTACTATGGGGACCCCAGAAACAGACCCCTAATTGGCTCGGGCGCGGGCCATCTTCGCGCCGATCTCTTTGAGCGTGTTGGTCTTGCCCATGCTATAGAACTCAGCAAGGCGACTTCCAAAACTGACAGGTTGCAAGCAGCCTCAGTGTCAATATGAACCATAGTCTAAACTCCTTAAGGGCGTCATATAGGGGAATATACAGGGGACCCTAAACCCTCAAGCCCATGTAAACTTACCATTACTTAGGGCTCCCAATTTCCTTAATTCCAAAGCTTCAAGATCTTAAGCTCAAAACGTCCGCCCCCAAACCCTAAGTAACAGCAATGAACACCAAACCCTGAACCCTATACCCTCACTATAGTCTAAACTCCTAGTATCCCCTCTAATCACACCTCTAATACTCCACTATATAATCCCCTTTAAGGAGTTTAGACCACAGCTCATATGAGGGGCCATCCCAAGCACAAAATCTCAGCTTTGCACCGCCAGACCGGGCTTGGACTCGTGCATTTCTGAGGTGCTAAAGGTCTTCCAGGACTGGCCGAAAAGCTTAGGGTTTGGGGTTTAAGGTTTAGGGTTTAGGGATGATCAAAAAGAAAATGGAAACTACTGTTTACAATGGGGTTATACTTGAAAAGAGAATGGAAACTAGTCTAATGGGATTACATAGGGTTCAGGGTTTAGGGATTAGGGTTCAGGGTTTAGGCTTCAGGGTCTAGAGTTTCGGGTTTTGGGTTTGCAAGGCCTACTTTCTGGAGGGATTCTCGCTTCAGGCTTATAGGCGTTAGGGTAGGAGTCACACAGGGGCGCGTTCTTCTGGGCGTTGGTCTGTTTGTCCCAATGGTGTGTTTAGGGTTTAGGGCCTCAGCAATACTTAGAATTGAGGTAAAATCAATTATTGACTGTTTCTGCTGGCCTGCAGAAGATTTTGGTGCGTGATCTTTCAAGTGCGTCCTGAGCAGGGGCTCAAACAAGCAATGGAACCTGAGCAGTTCCAGGATGAGGGTCACAAGCACAAAGAGAAGGTCCCAACATGAATTGAGGATCTTAGTTGTTTAGATGTGGGTTCTTGCAATGCAGCAGTGGCAGAGCCTCTTCAAGGCTGCACCACTGATTGCATCCTGTGGTATCCTCCACGCAGCCCTTGCTGAGATAGGTGCTTCGCAGCACATTAATCACATGAAGAGGCACCCCTGCATTCGTGCGCAGAGTCCCCTGTATCTTCGAATCCAATAGCTTGATCACTATATCTAGAACCAAGATAAGAAAAGAGTAAGCAGAAGTAGTCGCGAATATGTTCTGAGGTCTTTGGAGTGTCTGCAGGGCAGCGCAACGGCTAAGGTAAAGTGCTTGCGGGGAAGAAGCGCCTGCGGATTTCGAGGTACGGTTCATCGCAAGCGTGTTGAGCTTCTGCATTTGTCATGCTTGTGTGCGCTCACTTAACCCTAGAAGCCCAGATACCCATATACGGGGTTCCTGTCCTTAAGACCCTATATATTTATGTACTATCTGCAACCCAAAAACCTACTATATGGGTACCTGGGCTTCTAGAGTAAGGTATTGAATCTAATTCTTGGGTTGATCCAGGGCTCTCCCTCCCAAAAGAAGACACAAACTGCTATGCGCCATGCAGCACACAATGAACGCAAAGGGTCTTCGTTAGAAACCTGATATGCTACAAGCGGCAAGGGAAAGCTTCCCTCACCCTAAACACCCAAAGGATCCGAAAAATGGACCCCCCCCCAACTATGGACCCAGCACTACATTGGGGAGAGTAGGTGATGATTAGAGGGTTCCATTTTCTGGGATCCTTTAGAACCTAGACCTAAACCCTAAATAGTAGTTTCATTTTCTTTTCCATTACCCCTATATAACCCCTATCTTCCCTCTATATGGTCTGGGAAGCTCCCCTCAACAACGGCAGCAGCGCGTCGGAGTGCAGCGATTTCGTACCGTAGGATGGTAGCCTCACAGATGGAGGCTCCTGGAACCAGGGCAGAAGTTTTGGGTTTAGGGTTGTAGTGTTTTAGGGTTCTAGGGTTTAGGGTTTAAGGTTTTAGGATTTTAAGGTTTTAAGGTTTTAGGGTTTTGGGGTTTTGGTGTTTTAGGGTCTTAGGGTTTAGAGTTTTAGGGTTTGGGGCTTAGGGTTTTGGATTTAGGGTTTAGGGCAAAATGGAGGTTCCCCCAAAATTAAGGGTACCATTTTGGGGGTCCCCAGAATAAGATTATATTATGTTGGGTCTATACTGGGGTAGCCTATTTTGGGGCAACTACCAAATGAGCTAACCTTTGCTGAGGAATGGAAGAGACACTGGAAGCTACCAGAGGATCTGGGCTTGAGGGTTTAGAGAATGAAGGAATGGAAAGAACATGGAAACTACTGATCTTCAAAAGCTTGGAACCGTCAAGTTTGCCAGTCTACATGAGTGTTTGTTAGAACCGCTTGTATAACCCTATGCCATCGAGAACTTGGGGGTCCTACTTCTAAGCGCAATCATTGCATAGTCTTCGATTCAGGGGAATGCTCGTGCGGGAATCCTAGCGCTTGTGCATTTGGCGCGCAATTCATCTCGCGGCATCCCTTCTCTTGGTATGCATTGCGAGTTTACACGATTGTTCACGGGACCGCGCACCCGTGTATGGCAGTGACAGAGTCTTAAGTTACCTGCCTTTGTGTGCGGAACAGCACCAGGTTTCCTCCGTTTAGAGTTACCTTTGGTTAGCTAGGGATGAAAGAACGAATACGTATAGTAGTCCCCATATAACTCATAATAATAATTTCCATTTTGTTTCCATTCTTGCAGTCCCAGCTAACCTAGGGTAAGGGTAAGTAGAATAGGGGCTCAGAGCTTTGGGTGTGTAGTCCAGGGATCCTTGAATTTTCTCAGGTTTATTTCCCGAGAAAGGGTTGAAGGGTTTAGGGTGTCGGTTTTCTAGGAGATATAGGGAGCACGAATAGATTGTGGGGCTCACTATGAAGGATTCCACGGGAGCTCCTCTGTTTCAAACGACCGTGTGAAACATACCGAGAATTTTCTGCGAACTCTGAGGCCTTGAAAGGGCTCTGCCTGTAGGTGTTTCTAAACGTGAGTTGTGGGTTGGCGACCGGCGCCTCAAATCGTGAACCCCTTCTTCAAAGATCTAAGCGCCAAACCTTCAAGGCCTAGATTACAAGTACAATTTTGCAAAAGCAGTGAAGAATGCGCAGTAATTTCCAGCAACTACTAGTATCAGGAAGAAGACCAACCTAGCATGTAGGCCTGCGAGCGGCCCTCAATCATGGGAAGCAATTCTTAGCTAAGCACTTCCACGGAAGCTGCTGTTCTGCTTTGCCAGAACTCACCCCGAAACCTGGAGCACACATCTAATCTCTGTCTCAGGTAGCAGACACTCCCTTTTGGTGCATGCTGTGCAGCGTCAGGTACTTTGCTGAGCCGGGTAATGGCTGTACACACTTGCGGCTCTATGGCAGCAAGGAGCACTCCTCCCGAAGGGTGATGAACGATTTGTGATTCAAATTCTTCGGATGAAGGAGTATCAAATATGACAAGGGCATTTTCCACACGGCGCATGATTTTGTGGGATAGAAGACCCATGAGGACATGTCGACCATAAAACGCAACTAAGAAACCGCAAACCAAGCGTGATGATAGTCTCCCTTCCTCCGATTTCGGGCCACTTCGGGCGTGGTCCGTTTTTTGACCTGGACCCTGGATGTCCTACCTTTGGGGGGTTGGATCCTATACATATGTAGGACAGAGCCCCAAGAAGGAAGGCCATCCAGGATGCAGGCAATATCTTGCTGAGATATGCCGGGATCACGCTGGCATTGAACCACTCGACTAAGTCGTAGCTGGTGACCCAGACCCACGTGAACGGCAAGGTGTCCTGTAAGGGAGCTGCCCAGATTCCAGCTTGATGGGCTCGGGTGTAGGTTAGAGGGCTTTAAGCTTTACGGTCTAGGGTTTGGGCTTAGCGCGCAAACTAAAAAACTGAAGGTCCAAGGTTTAAGGTTTCCGTTGGGGGGCTTAAGGTTTCAGTGTTTACTGAGATCACTGGGCTTGCGGATTGGGTCGAGGGATCCTTCTGAAAAGACCCTCATTACCCTGTATCATTGCCCAATTATAATACTTCTGAAGGAGTGCAAGTCTAGCACCTAGATTGAACGGCAATCAATTATTTGGGTGATGTTGCCTTATTTATTCATGGCGTCAAGTGATACAGCCACGACCGTGAAAACTAGTTGTGGACAACAGTTTATAATCCCTATACTCTCTGCAGTTTCACGTTGATTTTCCATTATGCTTATATAACTACCCCCAATATACTATATAATAGTTCCCCTTTTGTTTTCCATTCGCTGAATAACACAAAAAGAAGTATAGTATAGTAGTTGCCATTCTATTTCCAATATCCCAATATAAGTGCATGGCGTGCCCTGTCGGCTTCAGGAAACGCACAATAAGCGACCGAAAAAACCCAAACTGCTAGGTAGTTTGAACACGCCGGAGACCTAATTGCCCTACTAGTTCTATCTACGGCTTTGGTAATTGGATTTCCAGGGCAGTTCGTGCTTCTGTTTGGATGGCCCCCCCTTAAACCCTGAATACAACGATACCATCCTGTTGAACACCGGATTCCAAAGACGTACCCCGGTTAATACAGTGGGAATCCCGTGAGAATAAAATTTTGACGTGGGAAGCACTCATCCTGAGGTTTCAAGGACTGGGTTACTAGGGTTTCAATTGTGAAATATCCTTATATAAACGGTGTTTGGGACCTAAAGCCCTACCATCTCAGCCCCTGGACCCTCAGGGTTATGTTATGTCATACAAATCTCGTCCTGCACATTGACATCGAAGCGGATGGCAAAGGCATAAGAAAGAACGGAAGCTTCCATAGATAAACTTGAAAACCACCTTGGTTCAGAGCTACGGCTGTAATGCTAAAGGTTAACGTTAAGGGTTTATGCTTTCCGAACTCAAAACTTCCATCCTGTGTATGAGTCCCAGGAACCTCAGAAAGTCAGTGTCCAAGGACCCAGACAGAAGCAACGCTTGCGAACATATCATGCGAGAAGGAGAGCCGGGCGAACCGCA